TGTTGCTTGGATCTTAAAAAATAGTTTGTTGATGTATTACAATTAATGAAATAACATAGCTTTATGCAATCTAGATCTTTAGCCTCTGCATGTGACACAAAACTGGCCCCTTTGTCTGTGAAATAATTTATTAGAAAACTTGAAAGAAAAGACCCTTACCGAGTGATTGATAAAGTGTGATATGTTACCATACTTCTTTGCATCTAAAGTGTATAAACATTCTCCTTCATTGAAGTCCAGATCAAACAAGTATGTCTGTCCACAGCTGTCATAAATTTTCCCTCTTTCTTCAGCCTCCTCCTGAGTGATGGCCTCGCCGACATATTCAGTCACCAACTGGTTCTTTTCAATGAGCTCCATTGTCTTGACACCCCACCCACAGCCATTTGGAGTACGAAAAATAGCCACCTGTTCAGGACATGAACACTGTATTTTAGTTGTATAAATAAGGCAACCGTAGAGAGACCTCTTCAACAGTAAAACCTCTTCTTAATCCCCACACTCAGCCATTTGAGGTACAGAATATTGCCCCAGCAAGTAGCATTCATAGACAGTGGATTGACGTGCCACAAAATTCTGGCTGTAATAACAAGTTTGCCTTATTGAAGGGGTTCTTTAAATTAAATACCTGATTAAGCATTTTCTTCAGACCAAAATAGAGTGGTCATACTACTTAAAGGGTGGCCATAGGGCAGGGTTCCACTGTCATAAATCAGTTGCATCAAGGAAAAAAACATTACTGTAGTCAGCGCTCTTGTTCATCTAGAGCTGCAGCTGTTTGAAGTCTAAGCCTGTTCCAGGTGTTCAGTTAGTTGTGGAGCAGTGCAAAGAATGAGGAGTGTAAAAAAAGGGAAAGTTTGGTAGGAGAGGTACACACATGGCTGTGATTTTTCTTTTTTCTTTTTTTTTTACCAAAACTTATTCTGGTACACCAAATTTCAGTATGCCTTCTGAGTAGTCAGTTTTGACAGTTATTGTCAATACTCCTGATCAGAAATGTTATAACAGTTAAGTCTGTGTTTGAGCCCAATTGGTTATCAGGCCAACACTTACGAAATTTTCCACACACATAGCATGAAGCAACTAGATCTTACTCCCCCTGGATGAAATGCTCATCAGTGGGGGAGGGGGGGGGGGGGGGGG